CACACACACACATACACACACACTTACAGACATACTTAGCAGATTATATATAGTAGGATTTTTGGAATGGTTTCTTCCTTTTGCAAGAATCCTCCCCTTTCATTATGGCCTATGGTGCTAGCCTGCGTTTCTGGGATGAAAATAGGTTGGAGAGAAGGCCCCCTGTGGTGGGGGACTTTCCATTGTTCTCAAACAGAGGTGTGACCCCCTCCGAGCACCGTACACCCCAAAAATCGCAGGCTTCTAGATTGCTGTTGAGAAACTGCAGACTGACTAGTCTGGAGGCATATATCATGGTGTAGTGTAGATTTGGAGCACTTTTAATGTCTCTACTCCTTTGAGGCTGCAACTTTGTGGCAGCGTGCTCCGAGCGTCTGGCAGCGTCAGCGACCAGGAAAGTACAGATATCGGCAAGCGTCTGTCGGCGTCTCGAGGGCCAGTGGAGTATAAGTACCGGTCTAGCGTCTGCCAGCGTCCAATCGCGGCCGGGAGTAGAGAGTATGAGGAGGAAGAAGAGTAGCAAAGAGCCGGATTAGGTGTTGTGAAATTGCGGCGTGAACAACCACACCGTACAACTGTACTACAGCAATTGCATAATGCTTTGCTTTAGCATCTGTGCGGTGCGGTTGCACACGCCTCAATTTCACGACGCGTGAATCCATATCTTCTACCCTACTTCCCCATCTTCAAGCGGGTGTGTGACAAGAGAATCGTAATTAGCCGCGTTGGTGGGCGCCGCGCGCGACGTCGCGCCTGCGAATGTGATGGTTCCAGGTAGAGGATGGCGACAACAAGCAATTCAGAACCGAAAATAGTCATGAATGTCTACGATGACGGGGTCTACATGAAGTCCGGTGCTCCAATCGACAGGTTAACACGAGTTAAGAAACTGTCGCGCCCATCGTCGCGCGGCGGAGCGGCAAATTACAATTCTCTTCGCCCGTCTCCGGCTTCAAGCAACGTTCAGACTTCGCGACGCCAGCGCTTCGGTCGCGCGTTTGACGAGATCGATGCGCATGCTTTTGACTGCATTGGTCGCGTCGAACGGGGAGTCGCTGCCGTCGCGAAGTCTGAACGCTGCCTTATATTTCTCACTTCCTTTGGGGCCGTTTCGTCATTGCACGCACGAGAAATGGAAGTGTATCATTGTCAGGCAAAGCCATATCACATATTGCAACATCCGCTCTTATAAAGCGGCCTCTGATATGGAACGACCTCTCGCCTTGATCAATAATCAGTAGGCTCAACCTCTATGTTGATCCTTCCATCAGCTTCAGCTAGGTCTGGTCGTTCTTCTTCTAAGATCCGTGTGCTATACCATGGTGGATGCTTCTTTGGTCTCACTGTAGCTCCAGGCAATGCCTGAAGAGACCATTGAAGGAGATCTCGGTGAAATTCAACTTTGGAAGACGAACCTGTTGTCTTTTCTGAGCAAATACTGGCAAGACGTTCTGTTTGGTCTTCTCCGATATGGTGGAACCAGAGTCTGTGTCTGACAATTCGGACTGCAAAACAGGACTGTTACTGAATGGGTACGGGAATTTCAGAACTCGTTTCCCGTGCACATATTATCACTTACATCGCCATCGAATCTTTTCGATTTCCTCTTTTTCTTCTGAAAGATGATTAGAAAGCAGAAAGAATTTGAAATGAAAGACGCCTATCCAGACGGTAATTCTGTGCTCACAAGTTGGAATCCACCCTGTTCTACGATCCTATCAAAGTTAAACATTGAAAACGTACTCCCATAGTGACAGGACTTCAGAGGCTCACAGTGGAAAATGAGAACCACTGATGATCCGAGGTGAAGATATTTCGTAAGTAAACAGGTGGTGATAAGCACTGATCGTGCTGAGTTACAGTACTTCTCACGAAGTCGTCCTTATGCTTTCGGGGAAAATAGGTTAAAGATGGGGTGGAGCAGGTGTAATAGTAGCAGTCATGACGCTTATCGTATATGCGCGCAGTATGTACAGAGTGAAAGAGACATGAGGAATTGACAGCCGCTATGAGCAGCAGAAGGAAATGACCCTCATATTTGTTAACTCTTTCACTCAGCGTTCACTTGCTGCAGCCCGACACAAGGAAAGCCAGCAGGTAGAGCATAGAATTGTTGTTAACACTAGCAAAAGTAAAGAAGAAAAAAAAGTAAAGTATGGAGCTGAAGAAAAAAGACAGGACTGTTGCAAACCGGACTCAGCTCCCTAACAGCTTCCTGACATAACTGAGTTTATTTTCATCTAAAACGACAAAAACTTCAGGAAACTGGAATTTGAATACTCGTGCTATCATTGCAGGGACTTTTGTGTGCCATGATAGAGAGATGTCGTGACTCAGAATATAAACCGACAAATCTAGAGGTCTTTTCATCAGAGATGATTCGAAACCTACGTAACTTGAAACCGGACAGTTAAATGTCCCAGAAGCGAACTACTGGTAACCATAGATGACTTGCGCGCTTCACTGGGCCTTCTTTATATCTCCAATACTCTCTGGTATCAATGACACTGTTTGGCCCATGAGCAACGGTACCTTTTCTAATTCAAAAACTGGCGTACAAGATAAAATATTGTTTTGCTACTGAGGTTTTTGACATTTAGTGAAGATGCTTGAGCACCAAGCCCAAGCAGTTCAGTAGAGAATTTTCCCGACTCCGAGAAGGTGCGCTTAGTTTTCTCAGAGATTCGCTCTCTACTGTTTTTTAATTGTTTATCCGGTCCCATTTTTGTTCAATAAAGCATGCATAAGCGGAAGAATTTGTTTGAATAGTAATGATTCAAAGATATGTTACAGGGTATAGGACATGGAACAACTAGGGTGACAGGAACTGTGAGCTGCTGATAAGATTCGATAAGGGGAGTCAGAATGCGAAGGCCACCATATTCATAATGCAGGACACAGCATCGGGGAACGGTTAACTCCACTAGAGGTCAGCCTGCCGGAAGAGAAGTGGGCCCCGCGGTGTTTTCGCTATGTGCGCGGCGTTTGCATAGTCCATTAGATTTCCAACAGTCTGCTTTATTACTTGGTGTGAAAACTATGAAAGGAGTGGGCCCGATGTTCAACTATTAGTATAAAACAATGTCCATTTACATAGAAATAATCTAGAGCATTCGTGTCACTCTCAGTTTACGCTGCGTCGTCGGGTGTTCCCCAACAGGAGGAGTCGTCGCTCGAGGGAGGCGGGGGAGGGTCGTAATTAGTCTGAGAAATTTTTTTCCATGTTTGATTTTTCCATAGTTGAGAGGCCAGGGGTGGGAGGGAACAGGTTGCCATCTAACGGTTTGGTCTTAGTGTGCGCCGTGCATATTGCTTCCACGCAAAGGTGAAGGTGTGATTTTTGGTTCTAGATGATTTTTGCCTATGCAGATGTGTCCACGGTTTGGAAAGGTCAATGCGCGCGAAACTTTTTGAGATGTTTATTTAATCATCTGCATACTTACGAGTTCCTGAAACTATTCAAATTGTTAAACAATTGTTTTCATATTTTTTACACTTCTTTACATCCGGGTCCTATGCAGCGCTGTGCTCGCTCCATCAAATTAGCGATAACCTTTTTCTGCTGTTTTGCTGCCACCGACCCTGCGTTTACGACCGTCCCCTCACCCGATGCACTTCGCACAACCTCCTGTTTTTCATATACTATTGCTGTATTGCTTGCTTTTCCCTTTTTCTTTCTTCCTAGCCCTTTAATCTAAATGCTGTTTTCTGCTGACGGGACGTTGCATTGCGGCAGAACTTTGGAGGATTCTAGCCCATATCAGCTTTCTCGTCAGCTCTACAGCAATTCCTTCCATTCCTCTTCCATTCCATTGTGTGGGTGGTATGGTGTGAACGTGTGTGTGAGTTGTGATGCGTGGTTGTCTTGTGGGTGTCAAAATGTTACCAAACATGCTTTTCTCTTTCTATAGACCACACTGATGAGCCCATCTGTGCACTTGGCTGTCTGTGGTTGAGAGGGCGAAACAGCCTTTTCGTAAATCCGCATTTTCATGTTGTTATTTGTGCGTTTCAGGTATTCAGTAAACTACTTTGCTTGTAAGGTGAGTTCATGATTTTGATATTAATCTTCATTACTTTACAATAAATAGGAACATTTCTGAAAACACATGTCTACTCGTATAGAATCCACTACCCGTTAAGTACATGTATAAGGGAATTGTTACCCGTAGGCGGATATCACACCCCGATCACCCGTAAGGTACACGTATAAGGAGGGTTTTACCCTTACTTAGATATCACACATACCCCTTCATCCATCACCCGTAAATGGAGATTGTTACCCGTATGGTGATTTACCCGTAGTATGCCCCGTCTTTACAGAGATCAATAACTTAACTCTACTGTACACTATACATATATACATTACTTTTTGACACCACACCTCTCTTGCACTACTTTCCGCACGTCTCTATAGGGGTCAGATTCGTCCATGATCTTTACGGCGTCCTTTACATCAATGTTAATGTTGCTGCGAAGCTTCGTCCACATTTCTTCAATGAGCGTGGGAAAGTAGAAGAGCCGTGCCTCGCCGAACGTCTGCAGCAGTGACTTCTCTCGTTCCTTGTCCCCAGTTTGCTCGACCTGGAACGTTGATCTGGCGTTTGCGTTCTGTGCAGAAAGACAACTACACAATTTTACACTTACCACAACCTCATAGTCTTTCGTCACGTCGTCATAGACTATACAATTTCCATAGCGCTTCTTCTCAACCGCTTCGATTAGGTTGCCCAACAATACCACTACCAGGACAGCGCCCACTGATCTCCTACGCATTCTCGCTCCTCCTTCTTCGTGCTTCAGTAGCAATACCACAGGGTTTCCCTTTCCATACGCATCTCTATGCGCAACACATAGCAACTGGAGTAGCGCATTTGCGTTCAGTGGAATGTTGCCGTCATCTTCCGAAAGTGGGTAGCCGTCCTAAACGATGATCACAGTAGAACAATACACAATATTTTTGCCTAAATCGATAAGACCAACCTCTTCGCCCAAGAACATCAATCGACTGTGACGATATGCGTCGCCCACATCCGCAAGGCGACTCGAACCGATGAGCCCCGGCACACGGGTCTTCACATTCAATGAACACAAGACGTTGTGTGCAGTGACGATGCGCCGTACGTCGAACAACTCCTCTTCTGGTGAAATGGCCATTTGCTGCGAATAAGAGTCGTCGTCAGGTGGCATGGCGCCCATTCTCGGTGGCACATCGACGTTCCATGGCAAGCTTCTCTGATGACACTGTAATGGACGAATCGTGAAATCAGTCAATGTGAATAGTGGTATGGTATTCGGCTGACCCAAATTTTCGCTGCACTCTGAACACAAACAATCCATACGCTTTTCAGTCGTTCTTCCGTAAAGGGAGCCGTAATTCCACAGAAGCTGTGTCCCTTTCTGAACGACCGATACGTAAATAGTGAAGTTACCAAGGGTGTTATAGTGTGGGTAAAGAAGAACAGCGCTTACTTCTATGTGAAAAGGAAGCAGAAAGTTGTTAGTACACCACAGATCTGTGAGAATCAATCTAAATGCTCACAAGATAAACCACTTTTAACCAACAATAGTCCCTGCGAAACCACTGGTCCAGTATCGAACAGAAACAAAACCAACCGCGAGTGGAATGTTGTACATCCAGAGCCTATTTCTAACCACGTTGTTGCCCCAGCCGTAAGGAGGGGGAGCTGCGGTCGGCAATAACACCGTACACAATACGGCCAATACTGTTACTAAGCCTTGAAAAGCTCGCGCGAACAAAAAAATCAGAGAAAAGCACATAAGGAAAAATCCCTAACCAAAAGCAGATAGCACAGCAGACGAACGAGCAGAATCAATCGGAACACTCTTTGGGCATGGAAAGGTAGAAATTATAGTGGCGAATGAAGATTTTACGTAAGGCCGCGTTCATACATGATGCAGAAATGCCGAACCACGGAATGTGCAGAACTGCGGAATTTGCAGACGTGTGGAATCTGCAGAACCGCGGAACTTGCAGAAAAAGAAAATATGTCTATCGATTTCAAAAACCGTGGAATATGCAGAAGTGCGGAATTTGCAGAAAAAGAAAATATGGCCCTAGGAACATTTCTACAACCTATCTTCGCTATTCTGTGCACACAACCGCTGTTATAAGAGGTGTTTGTTAGATATCCGACGGCGAAAATTTCCGCTTGACATGTGTGTTTGGAGGGTCCCATTTGTGTTCCTTTAATACGCTCAGTTTTGGGGGCTCTCAAAGGAAAGAACTGTTTAGTCCAACAACAAATCTCTGTTAGATCTACATTCTTCATACTGCAACTCATTACACAAGCCGCATGATGAACGAAAGAAAAGCAAAAATACAGCCAGCAAAAATACAACCACAATTCCCGAGACAAAAAAAAGCTTAAAAAACAAGTTAATTCTGCCACAAAATAGCCTTCGAGAACTATTCTCCGTCAGCTGTAATTTCCAGTCCGTAGACTGCACAAATCACACTTTTTGCGCGTCAGAAAAAGCACATAATCTTGGTATGGCATTGCTCACAGTCGCCAGGCCCTGACGAAACGGCGGTTGGGAGAAAAGCAAAAAATAGTCATCGATCGGAGATACGTACCAAAACCCTTTCGCCCAACCGCCAGGCTCTTCGCCCAACCGCCAGTCGATATGTATCGAAAGCTTTTCGCCGAACCGCCGCGTTTCAGAGAAACGCTGGACCGCGAGTGTGGAACAATGCCTAAGATCTTTTTTTTTAGCATTGGCAACAACCGGCATTGCTGACTGCGGGAAAAAATTAGTGGATTTTTAAAAGAAATCGGGGTCCAATTGAGCTGGAATCTCGACTTCCTGAACAAATCGAGGTCGCTGAATCTGATGGTGGTCTTTGTTTTCCATGAAGTTCATCTACAGCCGAGATTTCTCCATGGCCCGAAAACCTTCAGGATCTCTCTACTCTAACATCCTTCAATTATCACATATTCCACCCAGATTTCGACACCATGCAGCATCTGGGCTACTGCAGCGACCCAAGGCGGCTCGCCCCGCCCACCCTGCTGCACAGCCCGCCGCGGGCACTCGTCTCCATGGCGCTGCTCCCGCATGTTCATGGGTCTCTATCTCACCCCAAACTCAACCAATCGAGCTCAAATTTTGACCACTCCATTGAATCCACATTCTATGCCGACATTAGGCATTTCACTCAATTTTGCTACCTCAGTCCCCTTTTTTGCCATAGAGCCCCCATCATCAAGCCGAACTGGGTTCGAGTCGACTTTTGCACCCCCAAAACGACGAACACACTATTCATCTTCTCAATAACACAACATCAAAATTAGAATAATTTATTATCTGTCAAAATATCCAATATATACATCATTCGTCGCTCCTTCTTCTCCCTTCCTTCACAACTCATGCTCATCCGAGGATAATGAGAGCCGCCACGGAGGCACCTCCCTCCTTCTTCCGCCTCTTGCTCCTCCACGTGCGCCTCGTCCTTGGAATACTCTTCCGCAACGTCTTTCGCATCGTCCTCCACATACACAGGAGTGATTCACCTAGAGGCACCCACTCCATATCCAGTTACAGTGCTGTTCAACCACTCCGTACAGCGGAAGCGGGAGAAAAGTTGTAGACAGTACCCACATGTGCTCCCCTTGGAGTACTGGTCAACTCATGAGAAAAATTTTGACCGAACTTCAGAACTTTTCTAAGGGAGCGAGGCCTTCTCTCATTTGTGCTTTGGGACCAGTCAAGTGTAAGGACTAGGTAGCAAGTTGATTCGTACGAATTGGTTTTAATCAAGGAACACAGTAGGTCCAAATCCAAGGCAGGTGGCCTCCTTGGACGAAGTTTTTCACCCGGATAGAAGTCACTAAAGCAAAGCAATTGAGCCATTCCAAAGCCGTACTGTGGAAGCTAACATCAAGATCTAAATAAGGGAAATGCCGCTTATGGCTCCAACCACGTTGTGGCTTGGTAGAGATTCATATAGCGAAGTGTGTCGAAAATGATGAATTTCAATTACCGTTTTTCATATGAGAACAGCGACTGCGAGGGACGGTGAAGAAGCTGTGGAATGCTTACCTCACACACTTCCCATAGACCACATAACTGGATCTCGAAATGGCTGCGGAAAAATCTGATACGAGATTCAAAAAGTGTCCCAGAACTTTTGGGACAACCTAATACTTCCCTGCCTCTCCCCGCTCGACGGCAAAATTTTTGGAGAAACAAGGAAGGTTGTTGAGAAGTTTTGCAAAAACTGGTAAGAAGTAGGGACAATCTTAGGGGGAACATTTTCTCCGTGGACAGATTTAGTTCAGCTGTTATCAACTGGGGTAGTCTGACCCCTGAGTACAAATGTCACATCCGCTTCCGAAACTTCCTGGCACCCGTGCCACAGGCGCCGGTAGTTTACAGCATTTCAGGGCAGCGACACTGGTGCAGAGGCCTGGTTTAGTGTCAAGCGGATGTGGTGGTTTTCATGATCAGTAGCTCATACTACTCTAGGAGATAGACTTTCGTCCAATTGTGCCCACGGAAAAAAAAACCACAGTCAAAAACGGTGAGAAAGGTAGAAACAGTATAGTAAGAAACAATTTGAAGGGGGGGGGAAGGTCGTACCTGGTCATTGTTGAGAGAGGGGGGGGGGGTCATACTTACATTCTGGCCTTCTAGGAGTGGCTGGGAGTGGTGGTTGACTTTTCGTTATTGTCCTGTTTCATGCGATACCTCCCTCCCGCTCGACGGCTCGATTCGATGAGGAGGAGCAGAGGGCCGTGAGGGGTCGTACGAAATCATGAAAAGTCAATTACCAATCCCAACCACTCGTAGAAGGCCAAAAAGTAACTATGACCCCCCTCCCCTCAACAGTGAGCAAGAACGACCTTCCCCCCCCCTCCTCCCCTCGTTATAACGAAGTAAGAAAAATCAACCATCAGAAATAAATTTTCCTTAGCCCAAATACGGCCCCCTCTCCTGGCGGCCCCCCTCTGCTGGCGGCTCTTCACTGCTTTTACACAACAGAGACGACCGACCCGCTTTTGGACCGAATTGTCACGTGTGATGAAAAGGAGCTCATGTATGATAACCAGGGCACATCGTTGGTTAGAGGAATCCCCAACAGGGGGGTCGTATTTGGCCGCCAGGAGAGGGGGGTCGTAGTGAGTGCGGCAGCCAGTAACGAGCAGCGCAAATTGTCAATGTGCTGAGTCCTGTACAGCGAAACTTGCTTTGTAGAGAACTCGGATATGCAAAAAAATAGTACAAAACTTTCATTCAACATTAGTGATCTTTCACCTTATGGTGGACAGGATTATCCTGAAGATACATGCCTGATCCAAAGTAGGACTTGCTATTCCATTGAGCCAGTCAAAATATCTCGTGAATCCTTACATGCCACCTCACCCCCACCCCTCCCAATCAATGGAGAAGGGATGAAATTTCCGCCAAGTTTTGCCTAAAGGTGGGTGACCCTCTCCCTAGCAGTTCTGCGCCATCGTGGATTTTTGCAAATTTCCACTTGTGGCCGTTTGCTCTTTGCCAAACCATCTTCTGTCGAGGCGAAGCTTCAGTTTAGTAGAGTCCTCCAGAGCGTTTTCCTGCCCCCCCCCCATACATCGGAGTCAGGTGCCTTTTCTATCGAACGATCTCTTTCTCAGTGTATGCCCACACCATAGTAATCTCCGCTCTCGCGCCATCAGTTTGACAGAAACCATCTGCATGACGCTCATGCAAATAAGCTGAGTTATGAGTTCACAATTAGGCACTCTGTGCAAGGACCTTCATCCGAGCTAGGCAAACATAACACAGGAATAGCATCATAGGTGAGCCTGCCAGGCGGGAAAAGTTCTCAATCGCCTCCAATCAGATCTTCAATCCAGCAAATTCTATTGAGGTGGGCGGGCTCCACGGAAACCGATGAAATAAAATGACTGAATGAAGAAAACACTATGCGAGGCAGCATCTGGCAAGAACATGCACAAGTTCTTTGCAGAAAGCTGTCATTCAAATTAACAAACTTTACTGCTAAAGCTGCTAACTGTACAACCTATTGATGAGCTGGCGACAACTGTTCGATCCGTGTAGGAAACCACAGCTAATGCTCACCACCTGTGATGAAAAGGAGCTCATGTATGATAACCAGGGCACATCGTTGGTTAGAGAATCCCCAACAGGGGGGGGGTCGTATTTGGCCGCCAGGAGAGGGGGGGGGTCGTAGTGAGTGCGGCAGCCAGTAAGAGCCTAGTAGTATATCAGTATCTATTTTCCTCTTTGTTTTATTCAAAAAAAACCAGCGGCCAGTTTGAATGGGATGACCTAATAAAACAATAACAATATCAATATAAACAATATCAATAAAGCAAAAAAGAAAAAGAAATAGAAGAAAACTCACCTCACTAAGGGAGCGCTGCAGTCCGCTTTGGGACTGTGAGCAGTTGTGAAATCACATGACACTCCCCCCTCGAGATGACAACAACCCCCTCCGGTGGTTACTGTAAGTGCAGATCTGCAGTCCTCTAGTCGATAACCCACACAAATAGGGGTTATCGACTAGAGGGCTACAAATTTTGCCAGTGTTAACAAAATAATGCCAGTGTTGGCAATACATCGCCAACTTCGCTTGAAAGGAGGTAAGTCAACTGGCAATATGTTGCCAACACTGGCAGTATGTTGTTAACACTCTCACAGTATGAGACGGCATCACGGATCGCGTTCTCAAGGGATACGTTCAGAACTCCACAAGTTTCTCGTAGATCAGACCTGAGCTTCACACCACCTCGGCGAGTAAGACAACGGATGGCTGGCTTGGTGATGCCTTGGATATTGTCGCGAAGAACTTTGCGATGGCGCCTGGCACCCCCTTTGCCGAGTCCCTTGCCTCCTTTTCCACGTCCGGACATTGTTGCTTTGACAGCGGTTGCACTCACAAATGAGATGCCGCTAACCCAAGCGCCTCCCTTATATACACTCCACTTGGGTCTCCACGCGGGGCCCCAAAAATCGACGCTCGATCAGCATCACCCCCACTCTGCTTCTAGCTGCCCCTCAAAAAAACTATCGTCAACTCATTTACACAGACAACCACTTCTATAGTATTTTTCATGAAATACACACATACAACAGTTTATAGCACACATTTATTCAACACAATATTTCTCGTATGTATTCGTTTTTCGACATTTGTGGCCCTAAAGAGGGCCGTAGGGTTAGATTGAGATCCAATCGCGAAGCGCTTCGAACTTAAGCACGTTCACCACGGATACGGCGAGAAAGCTGGATGTCCTTAGGCATGACCGGATTTCACGAAGAGCGGCTTTTCCTGGGCGGTAACGATGAGGCTTCTTCACACCACCGGTAGCCGGTGCTGATTTGCGAGCGGCCTTGGTAGCCAACTGCTTTCGTGGGGCCTTGCCACCAGTAGATTTACGAGCGGTTTGCTTGGTACGAGCCATTGATGCCTTCAGCAGAAAGCTGCCACTCTGGATCACCCTTTCCTTTCCATAATCGATTGCCTCGTTGATTTGACCTGAGATACGCTTCACACCACCTCGGCGAGCAAGACGACGGATGGCTGGCTTGGTGATGCCTTGGATATTGTCGCGAAGAACTTTGCGATGGCGCCTTGGCACCCCCTTTGCCGAGTCCCTTGCCTCCTTTTCCACGTCCGGACATTGTTGCGTTGATAGCGGCTGCATAGATATATCCCCAGCTCACAACTTTTTCGCCGACTATATACTCATGGCTCGTCGTCCGTGGAGGTGGAGGGGGATCGTGCCTGGACCCCATTCGAAGGGGAGGGGGGTCGTACTCACACCGACATTTCGCGCATCCCTGTGCTGTACCCTGCCTGCATCACTAGAGAAGACCTTTAAAATTCATGTCACCTCCAAACAGCTGCGAAACTTCTAGTATGGAGTCACCCATGGATAGCTACCTGGAGACCAGTACTCTCGATCTGGATGACCTCCAACATCGAGCAGCTCCGACAACGTCGCCACGGTCTAGGACATCATCTTCACCGCAGTCGCCAAGGCGCGGGTTGATGGTATGGACCGGACGTACCTGGAATGGAAAGACCAATATTTTCTTCGTGGACCCCGGACTGAAGGTGAGCGCTGGCGGTTACATTGAGCAACTCGTGAAGAATATCCTCCTCACATGTCGTCGCCCGTACCTTCTTGGAAACTTTGTACTGCTACAGCATTGGGTGCCACCACATGGAATCGAAGGGCGTTGGAGAAACTCTCGCCTACTTGGAATGGAAGGGGGCTGAGTACCTAAAGAAGATGGAATATCCAAGTAGGTCACCTGACCTGAATCCCCTCAATTACCCGGTTCGGGCGGAGTTCAATAGGGTGGTCTACGGTGGCGGAGAAATCGACTATCTCGCTGATCTCAGGCACCACATCGCGGTCGCGTGCCAGAATCTCTCGATGGCGCTCGTCCAGAAGGCTGTGGCGGAGTGTCATGATAGTATTTAATATGCTCTTTAATATGGTGGTAAAAATGTCCGATCAGAATTTAATAAAGTGTAACTTATAGCGCCTCGAAAGTCAATGAAGAAAGTGACTTTTTTGCCCCCCCCCCTGTATGCCAAGTAAAGCACCTAAATTTTGATCTTATTCTGCGTTGTTTTCATGCCTAATTAAGGAACACGTTATAAATTATACGTACTCATTGTCAGCTCTACAGCTACAACAGAGCCGAAAAAATGGCCAAATAGCCTATTCTACGCAACTTTTTTTCCTTTTTGGCATTCCCAATAGCGTTTAGCAAAATTGAACCCCATGGTCCTTGCATGGACCCCTACATCATGCAACAAACCGTTTTTGAAAAGCTCACCACGACCTGAACGACCTCCCTTGTAAGAGTTGCCTTAAAATCATGCCTGAAACTAGCTGTATGTTAGCGCCTGAAGCAACAGACAAGTTCAAGTTGGCTTCGCTGGAGTCTTTTATTCACGCCTTCTTAGTAGTTAGTTCCGTTACCTGGACTGGTTTCTTCGCAAGAGTGACTGGGGTTTACTGTTCATACAAAATCTTACTGGTAGATTATAGATAATATCACTTAAAGGCACGGTCCGCTATAAAAACTCTAGGTGATGCTGCAGAAATGTAGAGGGAAATTCGCCAAGTGAGCCATCCATGAAGAGAACATGCCAAAGGGGACTTTAGGAAACGCATTCGTCAGGCCTCCTCTAGCCTCAAACAACTGTAGAGGTAAAAGACCGAAAAGACCGCGCGCTGGGACGATTCCCGTCGGCTGATTCCCAGTAATGAACCTTATGACTCTACAAGAGACATTGATGCATCCACTCCATGATACTTGCCCGATTGCTTTACTTTTAGCTGGAAGCCCGACTTTGGAGGCGGAGTCACTGGAAAAGGGATGTACCACTGAAGCAACTTTGCGCCTTAATTCCTTTACCGTACAACTTTCCGCCGCGAAACTGGCACAGGGTTGTCCACTCCGGACCGCACTACCTTCCCACATAACCTCTTGCATTTTCATAGGTCATCGCGGACCGTTCCTTCGACGACAAACTGTATGCTCATTTCCGCGTTGTTGTTTTTGTTGTTCTTGAATGGGTCCGCAGGTGCAATAACGTCCACTTTACTCCGCTTAAAGTAGGCAGGAACTGACTAGCGAGTTTGGCAATAGTAAGGCGCATGGTTGCCGTTCGGTTGCGCGTGCAGAGCCTGGAAACAGCACCCGGGTGTCATTGTCCTTAACCCCACCCCTCCCCCATTTCCGTGCACGATTTGATGTGGGTGTGGAATTGGTCTTAGAACCTGTGAATAATCTGTACCTACGTGTATGCCCTTTCTAAAAGGATAATCCCAAGACGGGGGTAGTTAATGGCAGAAGCGCTGCTCACCACACGCATAGCCTGGAGGTCAGATCCTGGCTAAAATCGCGTTTAGGCCTATCGAGGGTCCTTCTGAGATTGGCTGATTGGTAACAGGCTGCTCTGGAAGTGCAAGAAACAGTGATGTATTGGTCTGGAAAGTCAGGCCAGATCGCATTGAAGAACAAAATTTTCAATGTCGTTTCTCCAGAGACTATGAGAAAAATGGTGCGTGGCGCATTCCACGGTGAATACCAACGCTTCCGAGTGCTTTACCGTTTTTGGATGGACAAAAAATGTTAGGTTGATCACGATCCGGTAGCCTGTAGTGTGCTGTGCCGACTTCGGAAAAATGCTCCTAAAGGGGAATAACCACCGTTCCACCTTTTGTTTTTATTTTTGGACGTGTGATGAATTCAGGTGGCAGGAGCTATTCACAAATGTTTAGATGATCTCCCGTGAAAAACTCAGTTTCAGCTATTCATTCTATGATTCTGGTATGTCGGACGTTCTTGTCGATTTACGTTGCCGGCTTAGAAGGCCGTATTGTCAAGGCGATCGTACAGAAGGTACATTTCAACTTCCTAATTCTAGTCTCTTTTTTCAAAGAGCCCTGGGAAATTTCTCCGGCCATACGGAACCTAATTCAGAATCACATTTTCGGTGACATTTAACTACAGACAGTGGTTATCGGGTGCCCTCCACGATCATGGACATGACAACGGTTATCATTTAGTGCGCTGGCGCCCTATGGGTCATTGGGCGCCAACTTGGCGCCACACTTTTTCTCCTCAAAATCCAAAGCTAGCACATTAGGGTCATTTGATGTCCTGATTATGGATCAGACATCCGATTTC